TAGGCGCTAACCAAGGTTATGACCAAATCCCTTCCAATTTCATACTAAGGTCAATAACCTCCAATAGGTACAGGTAGCATCCTAGCAACTGGCAGATTAATATTCAGAATTATATTCCAAATGCAAAGATACCAAACATAGCGTACCCTTGTCATCCAGGATAAAAGAGACTGCTTCTTCTCTCTTGTAGGTACTAATATAGTGATGTAAGGTCTTGTGTGACTCATATTAAAATGATCTATCTGAATATATACTTCATATTAATGTGCCCAGTTCCTGCTGAAGTTTATGAATTGTATGAAAAATGACTCATATGCAATGTACGTTTTATGGCACGCTCTAGCCCTAATGGCCTAACAGGTCATGACTGACTAAGTTATTGTTTTACGATCGGGCAGAGGAAAGTGATTTTCAAAGCAGACCCCTGGAACCAGACTAATTGGCGGTTTACAGTCCTGGAGCTTTATCTAGCTGTGTTTTATTTAGGATAAGAGGCCCTTTTGACCTCTGTTCAACTTACAGCCTCACATTCCATTCAAAATGGAGGAGGGAGGACAGGAGAGAATATGGCTGAGACCTAACAAGATGGCTGTCATGTACAGCATACATGTCTCTAGTGCGCACAATCGTCACAGTCATCAAGTCTTTTTTTTCATAATCATTTTTAATTTTTGATTCTCAAGGTAAAAGATCGAGAACTGGAGGGATTGGTACATAACATTATCTGGTGGATTTACCATAGACATATTCCATAGATGTTATAGAAATTAGGTTAATACAGGCAAGATGTGAGTTTGGGTTTAGGTATACTATTGCAGTGTTGACAACCTCCCGCAGCATTTTTTACTGACAAAACATGGAAAATTTACTGGAGGAGCACATTTGTTACTGACAACTTGAAAAATGGCATTAAAAACTAAGACAATATTTAAACAATATACACACAATATGGAAATTCTCCATTGTGGAGTCATGAACTGTCTGTGGTTTTCTAATAAATCTAACAGGCCTAAGCTTGCATGTATTTGTCCTGTATGAGTTCCTCCAGTCCTGCAGTTTTATTTAGCATCCAAAACAGGGGCGGACTGACAACTCATGGGGCCCCCGGACAATAGGGGCTCATGGGGCCCCTGTGTCCTTGCCCAAACTCAAAAAAGCCTATGAAAAAAGTACCAGGGGCATCTCATGGGGCCCCCTACTGACCCTGGGCCCTCAGGCAGTGCCCAAGCTTCCAAATGGTCAGTCCGCCCCTGGTCCAAAAACATTCTCTCAAGTTTGGAGCCTGTATGGATCTCCAGTGTACTGGTATGCAATGCCTTGCAGCGTTGATCATATGCATTGCTTATGATTTCATTTGGTGTTTTTGGGGGATGAAGTAATGGTGTATTGGGTGAGGGTAAAGTCTGCGGTGTTGTTGCCTAAGATCATTGAAATGATGCTATGGATGTATGATGAAAGGGCAAGACCACCATTCTGATTGGCTCCCAGCAATAATTTTGGAATTATGGCTGGCATGAACAGTACAGCCCTGGCACAGAAAAAAAACCTTGGCAGAGCAGAAATCCCAGGGATAAGTTAGACAATAGATCTACAATTTTTTGAGGTAAGCTATCCTGTAACACAGATGTACTGAGTCTGATTTATTATAGAATAAGTATACATATAAACGGAAGCCCTCAGTGATACCAGATGTATATTTTGCCCTCAGGTGCAATGGAGAGAATATTAAAATTTCTTTTAGTATTGTCTATAGGATGACTGATAGTATTTCCAGGTGCATCAAAGGCAAAGTCTGTGCAGGGGAGCTTCACTTATAGCATCTGCAGAGAGAAAGAGAGAGAGGCTTGACAAAGGGGCATATTGGCTTGAGAATGCATTACCTATACCCCCAGCATCCCCTCTCATCACAGGCAAGTGAGCAAGATAGGGTGTTCACTTTGAAAGAGAATTTTCCCCAGAACCTAGTGAATGTGGTGCTTCACTTCATTTACCAAGCTATGGACAATATTCCCTTGCAAAGTGCATATTCCCTTGCAAAGTGAACAGTCTATTTACCTTTAGAAATCAACCCAGCTATGTTTGTTTAGATATGTACTACATTCTTTATGTGTTTAAAGATTTTTTTTTCTTCACTTCAAAGTTAAAAAGCTTTTATCAATGTTTACAAAGGATTTGTCTGTTATTTAAACTGAATTAGTATTCTATATTTCCTTTATGGCCAGTATGGGTCAGATGGCTTTGTGATCATTTCTATGCATGTTTTAAGGTCCCTCTTACAATGACTCACAGACTCACCAGTTGAATGATGCCCAGCTTCATTTAACCCAATTCCTGTGAAGAGTGTCAATGGCCCACCCTGGACTCACAGGAGAATCAGGAGGAGGGGTATCATGAGGCTTGAAATGTTTCTGTCTATATAGATTGCTATAGATTTATGTTGTTTATATAAGTGATTTTGGAGTAGTATTGTGACTGCTGCTAACTACTATCACTTGTAAAATGTATACACTAACTTTATATCTGTTCTTTTTCGATTGCTGCTTTATGTATTGACATACTTCCTTGGCCCAGTCTGTTCAGACACTATGGCTACCTGCAGGCTTGGCACCATCCACATGCAGCTTAACTGTTTAATAAGATAAAGAAGTTAAGCTGATTTCCAGTAGTTTTTCTGCTTATTAAAGTTTATTATTGACTTTTAAACACACATTCACCTGTCCCAGGATTCATCGACTTGTTCACCTGCTCCGTCCCTTCTCTCTCTCTTCTCCCCCTGGTTCCGGCATCTCAAATGTGGGCACCAGCTGTGACAGCTTGCGGTTTCACTGCCAGGTGCCCGCTGCGCATGCGTGAGTTGCGCTGTGCCTTCTAAATGGTCCAGCAATCTTCTGGGACCTGTGTAGTGTCTCAGAACACTGCAGGGGGAAGGAGGGGGCCGAACTTCCTGCTCAGTTTGCTGCAGCAAAGTGGGCCAGAAGTGGAAACGGGTACCTGTAAAAACCAGCTACCCACTCCCCCCCCAAAAAAAGTGCCAAATGTGGCAGTGGAGGAGGGGGGGGGGGGGAGACAGGCAAGTGGAGCTTCCCCTTTTGGGTGGAACTGTGCTTTAAATCCAAAAACAATATAATTCAGATAACCGCAGTACAGATTATATGTTTTCAGACCTTCAAAGTGTAAAAAAACAATGAGATTCCTGAACCTCTCTTCAAGGAATTAATACTGCCTGAGGGAACATGGAAGAAACAGGTAGGGCCTAGCAAGGGCTGAACTAACTCACATTAAACAGGAGGGGAACACAGAGGGAGGTACCAGATCACAAAGTAAACATGTTGCAGTGACCCTATAAAGACCTCAAAACAATAGCAATCAGATACATTTCAATGTAGCAACATTACAAAAAACAGCATATAGGTGGGACAGAACAGCATTGGGTTCAGGTTTGGATCTAATAATATGAGTTTGACTTGAACACTGTTCTAAATAGATTTTTGACAGTTTTGGGCCAAAACCTTGACCTTGCTACCACCACTAAATGACAGCTTCCTGCCTACTGGCTTGTTTCACTGCCCCACCCCCACCTCCCCCCTCACCCTTTCTGGCCATCCAAGCTCAATTCCTGGATAACAGTATAGTATTGGTTTTTAGAGGGGGCCACTCCCATTTTTTTTTTGTTTTTTTTGCTTGGAGATCCCTTTGGAGCCATGCCAAACCCTATCGAGGATAAAGCTTTGTTATGGATTTTGAGGTGGCCCTACACAATTTTTTTCTAGTTTTTTTTTTTTTGCTTGGGGTCCCTCTCAAATCCAAAGAAAACCCTATCTAGGATAAAGTTATGTTATGGACTTTGAGGGGGACCCCATGCCTATTCTTTGTTTTTTACTTCTGCTGGGCTTGTAGCCTTGTATGTTTCAAGATGGAGCGTGCACACTCTTTGTGCCACTTTCTCCAACACCAAGGCTACATACAGTACCTGGATAAGTGTCTAGTGTAGTTTTCTGAGGGGGTATCATATGCAGCATGGGATGGATTTTGAGAAGGACCCTAGGGAAAAAAAGGGCTTGTAGCCTGGCTGGCTAGGAAGCATGCACACCCGTTCCAGAAGCATACCAGGGCACAATGGAAGGATACTTTGCCAGGGAAGTGGTGAAGCCTTCCCCTTTTCCCAGCAAACCACTTTGTTGATGGAGAGAAGAGCTTCATTGCCACAACATTGGCTTAGTGAATGTAAGGGTCTCTGGGGGGGATTTACTGGACTCTGTAAGCTCTCTTTAGAAGAAGTGGATCCCAGCTACCAGGCCTTTTGGTGTGACTGAATAAGGAGTAAATAGTACACCTGTTACTTATTCACCAACATCAATTGTAAATTAAATACATTAAAGTCCTGTATTAACAAAAGAAAATTCCAAAATCAATCACAATGACTGATGACCCACCAACACAATGACTCGCTGCTTCTCTAGTTGCCGCTTCACCTGCTGCTACTTCCATCACAAATGACAGCTCCCTGTTTGAATGTCTTCAGCCAAAATGTCAAGAAGATCATATTGGTGTAAGTCATGGCATAGACAGGTTGTTGGGGTCTTGTTCTTGATTGATGTTGTATATACTGTATTTCAGTGAACAGTGCGTTTCTAGTTTTTTAACCTCCCTAGCGGTCTGATTATGTCCATATTTCTGTGCTGAAAGCGGTACTTTTTTTGCATGGAAATACGTTGTTTTTTTTATTGTAGGCCTGTAATTTTTAGGAATAACTCACTGAAATCTGTCCGAACAAGAGTCTAGTAAACATCCCAGTTAGGATAAAACTTGAAACACGAAATCATAAATTATAATATAATAAATAATCATAAAAAATATTATAATAAATGTAATTCAATAATATAATCAAACCAAAAACACTGAAATTTGAAATATAGCACCAAGTTCACACATCGCTGAGCTCAGTCGAAGAATTGTTTTCAGCGTCTGATGACGAATTTCCCCACAAATCATTATCACTCAATTCTGCAAGTGGTTCTGATTTACTATCGCTGATCTCTAGCTGGTCTAAAACCGCTTTTGACCTAAAGGGATGCTTTTTGGACGCCATGGACTTTTCAAAGTTTCCAGGCAGAAAGAACAGTCAAAATGCAGGCAGGGCACAGGACAAAGCATTAGGGACAAAATGTATGTGAAATGCTTTGAAACAGTATTGTTTTACTATGTGATTTTAGTATATTAGTGAATGTCAGTTTTTAAAAATGTTAAAATTTCTCGCTGGTTCCGGCCCCGTACGTCCCGACGCTCGCAGGGAACGGAACCTGGAAAACGGATGCTGGTATCAGCCGGAGGAGATGGCCAGGGACGCTTCAGGGGACACATCATGGGAGCGCAGGACAAGATAAGTGCTGCAGGGAATCCCTGAGCAACGCTGCATGGTATACCCGAGGGTAGGTCTCGGTTAACGCTTTTGGTACTGAAACTTTACCCCGAGCTACACTCGGGAATACCGCCAGGGAGGTTAAAGGACTTTTTTCACAGTGTCTAAAGGCCTTTGTCCCTATCAACATGGGAACGAGCTGCTTTGCAGGGGGGTAGGCAAGATGCACTCCCCAAAGCATGTTACTCATCCTCCCCCCCCCCCCTTCAACTTATCCTGGACAGCCAGACTGCCTACAATCCAATAATCGGTGCGCGGTCTCTTTAAAACATCAACACAAATTGTTCTACAATGCTCAAATAAATTAATAAATGGAATATAGAAAGTGCTAAATTGCTCAAATTAATGACAAAACCCTATAACATTATTAAATAAAGTGCTCATGTGCCAATAAATATAAAAATTAGGTGCAAAGAAAATTAATTAAAAAAAAAAAGCTGTGTTAAACAATTCATGTGAAAATTCATGAAAAATCAGTGTTATTGCTTCATAATATATATCACCATTCATGGTGCTACAATACACCTCCACATGTACTTTCACTGCCACCTGTGTATGCTCGCTCTTTACCAAAAGTTGTTAATCTCCAGGCTATAAGAGCATAAGATAATATAATATAAACAGCATAAGAAAAAAAAACGCTCTATGATTTCGGAGGCAGCAACCCAACACATCAACCACGACAGCCTGGTTCTCAAAGCATGTTATTTAGAGGAATTGTGTATTTTAAATGTTGTACTTTAAGATGCATTCAAAGACCCACACCTCACTGAATGTTTTCAGTTTTTTTGCATGCCCATGCCCTTTTACTGAAAGCTTGCAAATTTGTCCTCAACAAAGCCAGAAAAAAATATAACATTTGACTCATAAACTTCAATTGGATCTGGACACTGTGTTTGGGGTTCTCAGATTTTCCGCTGGGTTGGGGGACTGTCCAACGAGCCAAACTTTACTTGGTTTGCCCCTTCCTACTGTTGAGTCTCTTCAGAATCTTTATGGCTAAACTCTTTTAATACAGAATAACTGCTCAGATTCATTCACACAGATATAGGTAGGGAGTTTGTACCTAGCATAAATTCCCTGGTGTTTTTCAGTGGCTCGGGAACCATGTGTGTCGCAAACAGTCTGCCATACAAGTAAAGGGCTGTACTGGTGCTACTATGCATAAATAAGCAGCATATTTTCTGAAACTGCTTAGGTAAATGCTAATACAAAGGAGAATCAACATTTACAAGAGTATGGCTGGGTCCAGCAATTCACTTGTATGGCAGGCTGTACATGTCATGAGCAGCTCCCTGGGTGCAGGAAAGCCTCAGGAATTTTACACTAGGCATATAAAATACCTTTAATTTTCTATGTTCATGAACCCTCATGGAGTGAAAGTTCTAGAAAAACATATGGTGGTCACACATTCTCCATGAACCTTATTTTAAGCCATATGTTGGTACTGGACACGTCAAACCAAAGCTTTTTTAATTGACATATTGTGATATTCCACCATCTCAAAGAAGAACTCCGGTCACATTTTTAATTTTCCCATGCTATGGGGCTGCATGGGTTAACTGCTCTCTTTGTCCAGGGGCACAAGATAAAGCGATCCCTAATCGATTCTTCAATCCTCCAGAAAACAGAGCTCCCCCACCTCCAGCGGTAGACAGTTCCTGCCGTCCTCACGTCTAGAGCCTGTCTATGGGCGTGATGACGTCAGGAAAAGTCCATTCACAAGACCACTGATGTGTGAGGGGGCAGGAGACTGGTCTTGCGCTTGGAGGATCCGCAGATTAGGCAAGTGTTTCTCCGCTCTGCAATTCCCTAGACAAAAACAACCCGTTAACCCATGCAGTACAGGCACAGCCCTACTGCATGGGAAAATTAAAAAAAAAAAAAGCCTGGAGTTCTTCTTTAAATTTAATTTAAAACAGAGTTGTAGCTGAAAATTTCAGCTACAGCTGCCATAAATGCTTATATATAATTTTAGAAAGGAACCATCTAATGATGTAATTATAAAATACCCATTCTGTACAGTTCTTAGTTTACTGGTAATTGCTTCACTTTCCAAACCATGTACTATTAACAACGTTTCCAATCAATGTTTTGCATGTCAAACAAAGTTCACCCAAACATTGCATAAGGATAGAAAAACAGAAACACGCATCTGTCAGATCTGCAGCTGGTCCTTGTACTGCTTATGTTTGTTTGTCTTGAAATGTTTTTGTTTTGAAAAGCACTTGTGTTATAAAACAAAAACAATTATAAACTCCATCATTTTCTTTTTCTAAAAAGTATTAAAGCTTAAATAATCCCTCAGTAATTATCAAATCATTTTCTTTCTCGGAGCTTCTATAATGTGTCTATGCTGAAATAAATAAGAATTAAAGTGCATTAAAAAAACAGCTTCTATCACGTACAGTATGTGTTGCGCTACCCCTGTAGGAACCGCTTGTATCTTAACCAGGCTTTCCCCTAGATCTTCTGCCGCAACCAAGCACACAGCATTTTCTATAGCCAGGTGCACACACTTCCACTTGTTACTCCAATGATCAGTCTAGGGGTTGTAGTTTTTTGTTTTGTTTTGTTTTTATTTTGTTTTAGAACTGGGATATGGAAGAGATATAGTGGGACACTGAATTGAACTATGCACAATTGAGGACAGCTTTCTCTAAGTGGATCTGTGGGTTTCCTTAGTGCATCTGTGTAGCAGACTGTGCAAAGAATGGAGCAAAGTCCCTCTGTAAAAATGTAGAACTTAGTGGAGAGTTGCTCTCCTGCACACCAGCCGGTGTCTCTCCTAGCATACTTCTAGCAGCTGACTATGTAGGTCCTGAGGGGGTTTGTGAAAAAAACGCCCATCACCCTGATTGGGTGATTCCACCACAGAACTGCTTCTTCACTGCTGGGAGACAGGACCAAGGTATTATAGCTGGGCATCACACCCAAGACTAGGCAACACTAGCTTGGGTGCAAAATTGGAACTCTTTATTTAACAGAATAAAGACGAAACTCATACAATATTCCAACAGTCTGAAAAAGTAGAATTCATCTATTTTCATAGATTTCTTGAGGGAGATTGTTGATAAATATTTCTGTCCCAAGTGGAGGAGCTTCTCCCAGTTTGCAGGAGGGCCCCATATTTCATCTGACTATTAACCTCCGTAACGGTATTCCCGAGTGTAGCTCGGGGTAAAATGTCTGTACCAAAAGCGGTAACTCCGAGCTACACTCGGGCTTACCATGCGGCGCTGCATAGGGAGTCCCTGCAGCACTTACCTTGTCCTTCACTCCTGCGATGTGTCCCCTGCAGTGTCCCCGGCCATCTCCTCTGGCTGATGCCGGCATCCGGCTCCTGTGTTCTGGTCCCTGTGACGTCGGGACGTACGGGCGCCAGCAGCGGCGGGAAATTTGAAAATTTTTAAAAAATGTCATTTTTTTCAAAACGATTTTACATAGTAAAACATTACTGTTTCAACCCATTTCACATACATTTTGTCCCTAGTGCTTTGTCCTGTCCCCTGTCTGCATTTTGATTGTTCTTTCTGCCTGGAAACTTAGAAAAGTCCATGGCATCCAAAAAGTGTCCCTTTAGGTCAAAAGCGGTTTAGACCACCTAGAGAACAGCGATAGTAAATCAGAACCACTTGCAGAATTGAGTGATAATGATTCGTGGAGAAATTCGTCAGACACTGAAAACCATTTTGTGACTTTGCTCAGCGTTGCGCAAACTTGGCGCTCTATTTCAAATTTCAGTGTTTTTGGTTTGATTATATTATTGAATTAAATGTATTATTATTTTTTATGATTATTTATTAAATTATAATTTATGATTTTGTGTTTCAAATTTTATCATACTCGGATGTTTAATAGACTCTTGCTCAGATTTCAGTGAGTTATTCCTAAATATTACAGCCTACAATAAAAAAAACTACATATTTCCATGCAAAATAATGGTACCGCTTTCAGCACCAAAAATCTGAAATAATCATACCGCTATGGAGGTTAAGCTGTACTAGATTAATATTTCACCTTTCCGTCCACTCCAGAGAATTAATCCAAGCCTCGATCTCAGCGTTCATCTTGTTGTCCATTGGAGAGTCTGTTCTCTCCATGGGCCATAATCACTAGTCCCCTACAAAAGCCCCTGCCCTGTATGGGTCTGTCACAGGGTTAAACAGCACAAGACCCAGCATCTCTTTAGAATAATCTGTACTCATAAGGCCCTTGCTGCAGGTCACCTTCCTCTGTGATACCAGACAGGATCTGTAGACATTCACCTTCAGTCAGCTCTAACAACACCCTGGGTTTCAGCATTCTGGCCCTCTGGAGGCCCATCCAAGGCCTCCTGGGAGCATGAGTCAGGAAAGGCAACCGCCTCCCTGGCTGGAACTCTCTTCTTAGAGAATCAGGAATTATTGTGCTCACTTAACATAAATACTAGCACCCAGCATGAAAAGGGGCACCACTCCCTGTAACTGGCTGAGATGGTATTTATTTTCATGGTGCTGATCTGCATGGGTCACTCCTGTTCACCCAGTACCTTCCAAGAATGTGATACAGAGGAGCCAATCACAGCGGCAGCAGCACTGTGAGCCACACAGGATACCCTCACTAAACAATTGTAGTTTTTTATGTTAATGAGAAAAGCTGCTACGTTTTGCCTATCAGTCTTCTGTTAAGCAGGAGAAACCACAATATACTAAACTAGACTATATACTGTACATCATAGCAAATTAACTAGGAGGGTACTACATATGCTACAAAATATAAGACTGGGAGGTATGGCTGCCTGTGAAGTCATGGGCTTATTTCACTGGACAGTAGGAAACATGAACCCTTTAGTTACCCACTACCTAGAAGAGCAGGATATACAAGTAGTACAGGGATTATATCAATAAAGGCAACAAATTTAGATTAACAACGAAGGAAGAAACCATTTGGTAGTCATTTC